ACGACCGTGGTGCCGATCACGGCGCCCACGATGCTCGCCGACGAAAAGCACTCCTCGCCGTCGTCGGCCGCGGCCTCCACGACGGCCAGCCCGCAGCAGGCCAGCAGGACGGCCGCCCACACGGTGGCCATGGCCATGGTCCTGGTGCAGTGAGTCCTCTGCCTCCTCCTCCGCGCGCTGGAGCTGCTGCTGCTGCTGCCACGCCTCCGGCTCGGTCTCGGGCTCGGGCCCGCCTACGGAGCCTACGGCAGCGCGCGGCTCCTCCGGGGATTCACGAGCATTCCTGGAAGGGAGGGTCCGGCGGCAGGGCGCGGCGGTGCAGGGCTGGGTCTCGGGGAGGGTTTATCCAGACATCTTCCGGCAGCAGCGCTCGGCGCGCTCACCGCGCTCGCTGCGAGCGCTCAGCAGGCGTAGACACTCCAAGGCCTCGGCCAGGTGCGCGCATTCCCGCGGAGAACTCCCGGCGCGCACTCACTCACACACACTGACACTCGCGTCACTCTCGGCTCGAGGCCCGCACACCGGCCGCCACACGGCGAGCGTCACGTTGCCGTCGAGGACGCGCGGGTAGTACCGGGTACGCGTTGTCGCGGTGCGCCGCGCGTCGCGTCGCGTCTCCAGGTCGTCTCGCTCTTGCCTCACTTCGACGCGCCGCGCCGGTTCGTTCGGCAGTCGACAGTCCACTGAGGAGAAGGCCCCGCCACCACCACCGCCGCCGCCGCCGGCCGGCCGGCCCCGGGCCCCGTGGGCAGGGCAGGGGAGACCGGCCCGCCGGTGGGACGCGCCACGCCACGCCACACAGACTGCCTGCTGCGGAGGACGAGAGGGGAGGGGGGGGGCTGGGCCGGCAGGCACCTGCGGCACACCCGAGCGGAGCGCCTCTCCCCGGCGTTCTCTCTCCTGCTCGCTCCCCCACCACCTCTCCTCTACTCACGCACGCTCACACTCACACAATCGTTCGAACGAACGCGGCCGAAGGAGACCGGCAGACCGGCCCAGCATGCCGACTCAGGGGCTCGGCAGGCCGGGCTGGCGGCGATGGCGATGTTGTTGATGGCGCGGAGCACGTCGACGTGAGGTTGTGGTGCGGGTAGGACGGGGGGGTAGAGGGGAGCCAGCTCACGTAGCTCACGCCCCGCCACAGCAGCGCGGTGAGGTAGTGGTTGCGACCCCAAGCTCCTACTGCTCCTACCTCAACCTCAACCCCTCCCCCCTCCCTTACTCCACCTGTGCTCCCACCTCCCACCTCGCCCTCCCTCATTCTTTCATTCTCCCCCTTGCTCCATCACACACACACACACACACACACACACACACACACACACATACACACACACCCTCGTGCATGCGTGTTGCCTTTGATGCGTGTCCCGGGCATGCGGTACAGGCAGGCGCAAAGACTCGCGGCCGTGGCGTCCCGCGACAGGCGGCGCGGCGACGGTGGCGCTTCGGGATCTTTCCGGTCCTTGCACCGCGCCGCCGCTCCGCGTTATCTCAAGGCGAGACGTGCAAGCCGAGGCGGCCGGTAGAACTGGGGAGCAGGCGGGGCCGATGGAGGTCGCGCGCATGACATTCCGAGGCGGGGCGGGCAGGGCGGCCAGCACCTGTTCCCCCCCGAGGGGGTCCCGCCGCGTCCCCGTCCCGTCCCACCCGGAGCCCACGGGAACCCTCCTCTGCTCCCTCGACAAGTCTACACCACGAGAGTCAAGAGGACGATCATGCAACTCTTACTTTTTACGCAGACTTGCCGGTAGAGTGTATACGTGTACTGTAGTACCGGGTGTTGCAGAAAAGACACAGGTGCGGGCGGGTTGGCCTACCCAAGGGGCTATGGCGCCTTACGGGCAGAGCGGGTAGGCAAACCCGCCCGCACCTGTGTATTTTATGCAACACCCGGTACTTACGCCTGGGACAAGTCTTGCTCCCCCGGTATCGAACCTCCAGCCTGGGATGTGTGGACCCCCCCCCCCCCCCCCCGACGGAGAGGGGGTGGGTGAAAGGGGCCGATTGGCGGTCTACGGATCAGACGCCGCCGTGACCTGCCAGGACAGTGCCCACTGCCGCAAGCAGGAAAAAAGGGAGGGCGGGGCAGTGGGGCTGGGGTTAAAAGTTAAGGACAGACTTAATTGCAGCCACGACCCACGACCCGCGATCCATTTTTCAGCTGCTAATGATGGGTTTTGCGGAAAGTGGTTTTGCGACCACGGCGCTGAGCCTGCACGCGACCTCCTGACTGGGCATATTATTTTTTAGTCTAGTCGGCGCCGCGCCCGCTGTCCTGCACCGCAGTCTGCCTGAAACACCCCGTCGCCAGAGAGGATATGGCTGGCTGGCGCGGCGGCGACGACGAGGCCGCGGCCGCGGCGCCGGGACGCCCGGAGGGCAGGCATCCCAACAGACACGGCGCCCGGCCCACCGTGGCGGCCGCGGCGGGACCCGAGTCCCTCACGCGCTTCCTGGCGGCGATGCCCGCGCTCACCCGCTGGACCAACATGGGCCTGCTGGACGAGGAGCGGCCCGCCGGCGCGCGCTGGCCGCCGCGCTGGCCGCCGGTGCGCACGCTGCTGGTGGTCACGGCCCACGGCCTCATGGGCCTCTCGCACCTCTCGCACCTGCTGCTGCGGTCCAAAGTATCACAAATGTGTTGAAAATAAAAATATCGCTACATTTGTTTCGTCATCGAAATTTCCACAGACAGAAATGCAAACTCACTTCCTTGTCGTTTTTGCCGTCCTGCGCACGCGCGCTCTGTCAACGATGTCGCCTTGTCGCCTGCTCCAGGGCGACCGTGTCTACAACGACGCCGGCGCCTTCATCGCGGCCCAGACCACGTGGTCCTACCTGCTGCAGGCGCTGCTGCAGCGGCGCACCCTGCGCCGGCTGTACGCCGAGATGCTCGAGTACAGCCGGTTCGTGGAGAGCCGCTCGCCGGCCGGGAGCGGCCCGCTGCCCCTGCCCGCCAGCAGGCTGCGCCTCCGCCGCCTCTGGACCACGCAGACCGCGCTCACCCTCGGCACGTGGGCGTTCTACACCGCGTCGCCGTTCCTGTTCGAGTTCATTCACGACATCGATCTGGGGTCGCTGAGAAGGTGAGGCTGAGGCGACCGTCGGCTACTCACCGCGCGTCATCGGAGTCCACACTAAATCCGCGCACTCCCTTCGCCAGGCTGTCGGCCATGACGCACCCGACGCTCTGCGACCTCCGCGGCCTCGCCTGCTACATCGTCACCTACGTCGTGGTGGCGTTCGAATGGTTCCTGGCGTCGTTCGCCTTCAGCAGCGTGGAAAGCACCAACCTCGTGTTCTATACCGTGGCCAGCAAGCACTTCGAGCACCTGGGGGCGTCCATCGGGCAGGTGAGACTGGTTGGAGACCGTGCCGTGGAGGGTGCGTGGGTGGTGTGGCGTGGTGCCTTCGGTGTCCAGCAGCCTCAGTCTCCCACGCAAGGCACCCACCACCCAAAGCACTGCAAGGCAGTGCTCTTGGTGTGGCGAGGAGCGCAACCACGTGGCCTAACCCCGTCAAGTTGTGCATCCTGGCATCCTGCCCCAGGTCTTCTCGGGCGACGACGCGCAGGCCGAGGAAAAGGAGGTGGAGCAGGCGTCGCGCGCGCTGCGGCTGTGCGTCCAGCAGCACCAGTTCCTGCTCCGCTGGAGCAAGGAGATGACGGCGGTGTACGCGGTGCCCACGTTCATCCGCCTGGGCGCAATGGTGCTGCTCTTCATCTTGCCCCTCCTCAAAGTCACCACCGTGGTACGGCGAAGCCAGCAGGACACTCAAGTCGCACAAACGCACACCAAGAAAATTGTATCTTTGAACTCTTTTGCTTATGCCCTCGTCCTCTGCCGCAGGACAACTACGTCATGGACGAGCTGCCGTTCGTCGGTTTATACGGCGTACTCACCATCTACGCCGTCTGCTGGTTCGCCGATGACCTCAACCGCGCGGTGAGTACTGAACTTCTTAACTGTCGTTGATTCACTGGAAAACCAGAGGTAGGACGAAAAGGAGAACAATGCCTTTGCACACCCCAAAAAATGTGTTAATTCATGAATTGCTTTTAAAATTGTGAGCCCCATTTCTTGTTTTAAGGAACAAATAGGACTTAAAACAAGAAATGGGGCTCAAAATTTTAAGAGCAATACTTGAATTGAGAACACATTTTTTTGGGTGCAAGGCATTAATGAAATATGAATTAATGAACCCTTAGAAAAGCATTAAAACTACCCAAAAGTGCTACAATTTTATACCTATGGATAAAGGCGTTAAAATTTCCCATCCTTAGAAAGGCGTTGAGTCCTAAAAACAAAATTTCCAGTGTTGTTGTTCCGAAATATTCCCGAAAGTCTATAGGGCTAAAAGTTTGAGTTTGTATTAAATGGGTTATTTTTCGTCAAGTCCTCGCAGGTGCACGGCCGGGCCTACCTGTCGCGCTGGGAGCGCGGGCGGCCCGGGCAGCGCCGCACGCTGCACATCCTGCTCACGCGCTCGCTGCGGCCCGTGCGCACGCGCGCCGTCTGGGTGGACAACCTGTCGCTCAGGTCCTTCGTGGAGGTAACTGTGCTTTGCATGCATTGAAAAATTTCTACCCCCGATCCAGTCACTGATCTTTTCGAATCCAGTCATTTTCTCAGTCACGTCCATTATTTTTAATCTTTTGGCTTCCGGTCAGTGTACACCCGTTTTTGTGCGGCCCTCTGATCAACGCGTTTTTCCTCGAGTGCCCCTACCACACGTCGAACCACATCTTAGCGATAAGAACCACCC